TTTTATTGTTTTCTGAGATTGATTTTCAAGCTAGATTTATTATTCTTAGCCTGCTCATAGAAGCATTTTGATTATCTGCTTTACAACAATTATCTAAATTATGGGAAAAAAAAAAAAAAAGGTGATTAACATATAACAAATCTAATACTTTTGCATTTTCTTCAGATTAAAATTACAACTTTCGGACTCTGCTCAGGGAACTAGAAGTCCGATAAGGCATCCTAGACAGTTTGGCGGTGTTAATGTAAGGATTCAAGAGTTCCATGTAACGTTTTATTAAAAAGTGCAAGTTCAATTAATAACTTGAATCACAGCCAGGGGAAAGTGTTCTTCCAAAACTGACAGAAACCGGTGAACTGAACTGCCAGTCTTCATCTTGTGCTCCTGAGCCACTGTGAATTGGATGATGCTTTCATTCTCTGGAGACAAGCCTACACCTCGTTTCAATGTAAGACATTCACGGTCCTGAATACCGCATTTAGATATGATACGGTAATGGCTCGGATACTTTCTTGTTTAAATTAGACCTTCCCAAAATTTGAATATTCTCTAAATAGCATGCAGCAGCAGTTGTTGGGAACAAGATGGAGGTAGTTGGTGGTGAATCTGGAGATGGATTGTTAGATGATGTCCAGGTATAGCCACGCATTATGACCTTAACTATTTTTCCATTCATCTCTTTTTATTTTTCTCATATGTAATCTGAATTTTCCTTTTCAGAATAGTCACTTTCAGATTTCCTCAAAAACTATTACTGCAACGTAAAAGTCGTGTGTTGAAGCAGAAAAATCTAATTTCCTCGTCCATATTTTTTCAGGTGCTTAGGTTTGACAAATTTTCATGGACTACAGCTTCATCAAAGTTGTATCTTTCACTGACCAATCTTCCACTAAAAATTCCAGCATGCAAGGGCCATGCTTTGGTATGTAAACACATCCTAGCAGCTGTAAAATAATGTGTCTTCCATGAAATGCAGGTTGTAGCAGCCTAAACTACAACGGGTATGGTTGCTTTATATAATGTCAATTTGAATCTAAATATTATGTATGCACAATATATATACTTTGTTGTGTTGTTTTAGTAGAAATATTAAGATAATATTGTTTGATAATAATATAAAGAAATAATTCCTTTCCTCTATAACATCTTAAGCTTTTGACGAGGTGGTTGTTAAATATGATATCGAGCGGACTGAAGGTCACGACTTAAGGTCACACCAACACCCATATATGAAAATTTCTCGTGTCACACATGAAGAAAATATGAAGCCAGCCTGCACCTGAGGTGGTGTCTTAAGATATATAAATATACGACTTACTCTCTTACTGCTGAAGTTCTTAGATGAGGTGGTTATTCAGTAGTTAGTGGTATGCACTTTATAGTTTTCCTCCTCTTGCTTGAGCGTCTTGATTCTAAGAAATGCTTCAGTTCATTGAAATTCTTGATCAATTAACATTTCATTTATATTGCTGTGTGAGACGTTAAACTAAGGAAATAAATGGTCATTTGCAAGAAGGGCCTAAAGTTACTGTATGTTATGTTCGGGAAAGTGTAATGCTCTTCTATTACTAGCCTATCTGTTAACTCATCTTACCAATTTATCTTCATAACCCTCGTAACTATCTTTTCCTGGATTCATCTCAATGTTACTCATGTCATTCAATTCCTTGACCAATCTCACTTCTGATGTTGATGCGTGTGATATGTGGATAGAGCCTAATCATTCACATGATATTGCTGATAGTCATTTTTGTTACTTTTTAGGTTCCCTGGGAAAAGAAGATTCTTTTGATTGGAGGCAAGACTGACCCTGTGAGTGACAAATTCTCAAGTTCGGTTTTCACTTAGCTGCAACATTAATAACTGCTTTCCATAATATATCTCCGTTGCATGGGTTCCAATACATCAAATAATTGGGCATTTGATGTGGAAACAGAGTGTTGGTCGCTAATGGAAGCAAAGGGAGCTATCCTGGTAATTTATCTATCATAATTAAAAAGTTAAAAGAAAAAAAGAGTACTCCACTGATTATTGAAACATGATATTGGACTGCACTATTTCTAGCTGTTTTTCAGTTTAACATTGAGACAACCTTCTCTTAATTTGTTTCTTTATCCTTGGTGCTATTTACCATGATACTTATGTAGTTTTAAGAATGCCTCCAATGAAAGTTCAAAGTCTGATCATTTTATTTGCTTGGAGAAAATGACATTAAAATCACTGAATCAGTTTTCTATCAATAAATCTTTCTATAGTTTTTCATTATGTGGCCGGTCTGCTTCCACTGCACTGCAACAACTATTTAACGGAAGGTTTTTCAACTATTTATTGAGGCCACTTCATTAGCCCAAAGCCTTTTGATCAAATTAAGAAACGTTACAGAAACATGGATAAAGAACAAATTAAGAGAAGGTTGTCTTAATGAAAAAGGTTACAGAATCGTTCGTTGGAGTTTAATGGACTCTGATACCATGTTAAGACTTGGAATTCCATCTTAAAAATGTCAACTTTGTTAAGAGGAGGAGCCCAAAGCCTTATAAGTTAATCTATGTTTTCATCTTTATTCGATGTGGGATTTTTTCCCTTAACATCCCAAACAGGCCCTTAATCCTGTATAGTCAACCCTGCACAATTTTCTTATATGAGACCTATACTTCTGATTTCAGAAAATGGAACAAAGCACAAAACCAGTCGGGGCTCAAATGAACAATGTGGAGATAAAATTGCCGAATCTGATAACGTGGAACGCCTAAGACAAATGGAAGTGGCAGATTTCATTTGGAAAGTGATGATATATTTCAAGAGGATGATGGTAAATCAAGAATAGAAGTTCCATTGAGTGTCTATCAAATGTATGAAGCAAAACTGGCTGGCCTTTAAGCAAGAATGGCATTCTAGAAGGGCAATTAGAGGCTGCTTTGGCTAGTCATGAAGCATCTGAAAAGAATTTGTCATCTGCTCTCAAAAGTCGACAGGAAATAGAGAACAAATTGGCAGCCATGATGAAAGAGGTCGAGTTGCTTAAAGAGAAGCTAGTTAGTGTAGGAATGGCACAGGAATATTCCAACAGCCTGTCCAACATTTTCCACTCCGATAATGTAAAACTTGAACATGATGTGGCTTTCCTTAAGGCTTTATTTATTTTATTGATACACAAAAGGTACTATCGCTCGGTGAGTATAAACTAATCTTGTATTACTATTTTTACCAACTATACACCTTAATGTCGATGGTTAAAGTTCTCTGGTTTGAGTAGTGTCTAATGCAGGAACTGCATTCAACTAGAGCGGTCCTTGCTGGAGAGTGAGAAAGAGCATTCCGACTTCAGGAATAGCATTGATCTAAAAGTTTGAACGTCATAAAGAAATCAGCACAATATAAATAACATGGGCCAATTAGGTTGAACCACGGCTGAGGGGAAAATTACACACCATATTAGGTTCCACACATCCAACATGTTTGACGAAAAAAGTTGTATAAAAGTAACTTTTGAGCTTAGCCAAACATGCTTCTAGTTAAAACTTCGTTATTGATTATCTGAATGATCTACATTGATTATTGTGTTTATGATTGCCCGCAGTTTTGCATTTCTTCACTCGTTTTCTGGTTCTTGATCTATTTGGCTGTGACATTGCATCGCATCAACCTACTGATAAGTGTATTTCACTCATTGAATTAGCACCACCAAAGCATAGTTCTCAATTGTTCTTGAGCACACTTTTGAGAGTTTTAATGGGTTTGTTCATGTTGTTTTGTAAGTTTAAATAACTTGGTAAAAATGGCATATTTTGGAGCTTGGAATGGAGTTAAATAGTTCATGAAAGTGAGCATAGAGTGGCAATGAAAGGAAAGAAAAATAAAGTAGAAAACGAGGCCAAGAGCGAAGGGTACATATGAGCGCCACAGCGCCTCATTACCTAGGCCCAAGAAAAGGAAGAAAAGAAGCAGAATGTCTGGCGCTGCGGCGCCAGCTTTGGGCACCATGGCGCCGCCACCCGAAGTTAAAAAGATAAGATTTTTTGGAAAGTTTTCAGCCCAATCCATCCCCAACTCGCATTGAAACTTCAAAACACTGTAAATACAACCCTAAAGACCACTTTTATGACTTTCAGTTAATTGACCACTAATTGAATAAGTAGATGTTAGTTAATTCTGACACTTGAGAAAGGAAAATTTAGACGCGATCATAAGATTAACAAAGCATAGATTTTATGGATTTCAAAAGTGTACATTTTATAAAGCTTACTACATAAAAGAATCATGAACTTTATAAATTCTTGATTTTAATTTGGAATAAAGAATCCTAGCCGGCACTTGAGAGAGGAGATAAAAATACAATTGAGTTCTTGCTTATAAACATGGAAAAGATGATTAAAGATAACTAGATAATTGAGAATCATATTTGATAATTAGATGAAATCAAATTCTAGACTTTAATATCTTGAGTAATCTTTCAAACTTGTTTTGATATCGCTCAATTCGTCACCATATTCATCATAAAATTAGTTCAAAAATATTGATTTCATAACTCATTCATCTAGATAAAATAAAAACTATAGAATTACAGTAATTAGTAAAATTTGAATTATTATTCCTATGAATTCGACATTCTTTAACTCCATTCATATATTACAAAACTTGACACTGTACACTTCGAGTATAAATCACATTATACAAAAACGCATGACACCTACAGGTCAGAGTTTTCCGTCTAAAACAAAGATTACAGCCCCTGGATAATAGAGTACCAACTCCACGAAGCCTTTCCACGTTTAGTACATCAGAATATTTAGCCATCAATGTGCAGTACATATAGTAGCTTCAGCTTATGCAAGACTTTTTCGGGATCATTTCTATGCTTGTAATTTTGGGTTATTTGAGAACAGGACATTTTGAAACTAAAATGTTGAAGTGTGTATATAATCTATGTCCAGCACCCAAATATTTTGACCCATTTGAACTCAACCAAACATGGAATTACATATTCACGAGAGAGGACATGCGGCACATTAAATTTAAATTAAATTCTGAACCAAACATGTACGAATGTAGTGCCCAATATGATTATCCATTATCAGGTCCCACATAATAAACATGCACTAAACTCTGTGTGTTCGATTTTATCTTTGGCCAGGACTTCTTGTTGATTACATGTACAGATACAATTTGGGTACTCAACACCCACAAACAGGAGTTCAAAGACTCCATGTTCATTTTTTGATTAAAAATCACTTACTTTTAATCTGGATTCTTGATTTTCAAGATCACCCTGGACAACCAAAAACGCTGAATCTTCTGCTTGAATATCATTTTTGCTGGCAATTCTCTGCCTGATTGGCAAGAACAGAAACAAGAACATTGTTTCCAGTCTGAACCAGACGAAACCTTTCAACATTCATCATAATAGCTCAGTTTCTTCCTGGTCACCATCGGCATCATCAACCTCGTTATCTTCGTCTTCTTCAGGAGCATCGGGATCCACTCCCTGAAATGTAATTGGTTGGTGCAAAATGGATTGTCACTCCAAAAATTACACGCCAACATAATGTAAATATATAGAGAACAGCAGATTATTTTTATTTTCAAAAAAGAAAAGAAAAGAAAAGAAAAGAAACTATAATTCCTGATACGCCATTGCATATATTGTCCGTGTTTATGCTTGCATGAGTTATCAGGGCAACACAAACCTTCATCTGTTTCTCTAGGCGCTCTAATCCTTTCTTGGCAGCTTCATTTTGGTCATTTATCCTGAAATAGGAATGAGGAATGCAACGAGCTGGAAAATCAGTTTTATATTTTCACTTTATTATTTTTATTCGAATTATTACTTATGTCAATATCTTAATACAGTATTGTGAAATTTAGAACTCCATTTTTCACAAAACCAGAGTGGTTTGTTTCAACAAAGAAACAGAAATTACCTTAATGCTGCCTGATAGTGTAGAAGGCCTTCTTGCAACATATTTGTCGCTGCAAACACTTGAGCAAGCTTAACATGTAGAGAGTCATCAGCCCAATCCTTTAGATAACGCTCAAGTAGAGAAACTGCATCTCCATTTCGACCTTCCATAACATGGAGTTCAGCCAAAGCCAATGCAGCTCCAAGAAAACCAGGTTCCAGCCTGAGGGCAGATTCGTAAAACTTCTTTGCCTGCAGAAAAGTTACATATTTATGAGATAATAAAAGAGTATATACATCAAAGTTTCATTTTGAATGGGAAATAAGAATCTTATCAACATTCACACTAATTTTCAATTTGTGAATAGATTGCTTTATGAGTTAATCCACAAGATTGTGCAAGCCAATATCTAAGACAATTTTCAATGAGCAATAGAAAATGTTAATATACCTTCTCTCTGCCACTAGTGCTACTAGCATGCACATCCCCAACTAATTTTAGTGCCTTTGCTGACTGGGGCATGGCCTTCATTGCCTCTCTTGCAGCATGCAAAGCCTCTTTGATTTTTGCAAGTGCCAAATATGAACGGACTAAGCCTGTAACGTGTCCGAAATTTCAGTCACACAAGCCATTCTTTTATTGAACGAACTCTTTTAGATAAAAGATATATCAAATTATTAGCTAAATTAAAGATAAAGGAACACATTGAATATCATATAATAAATATTCTGATTGTCTCCTATAACAAACCTTGATAGGAACGAAGATCAGGCCGTAATTCTTGGGCTCCTCTATAGGCAGCTACAGCTGCTTCTGGCTGATTCATCGACAAGAATAAATTTCCCTGTATAGAATGAGAAATTGTGAGCTCGAAAGAAATCATACTACAACTATATAATCAATGAAATTGAAAGCAGGAAATTAAGCCCCGTTTGGGTTTGCTAACAATCACATTTTTAGTAGATTTTAGTAAAAGTTGATGAAATGTGTGGTTGAAAAGTTGATAAAGTTGTGGATCCCACAAAACGTATGGTTCAAAATGAGTTGAGAAAAGTGAACTTTAAAATGGGGGCCAAGACATCACCACGAGTGAGTATCAGTGACAGAGAGAGTTTTGGGTCTGAGAGGTAGGCCAAAATAAAAAGCAGTAGCAGTAGCAGTAGCAGTAGTAGTAGTAGTATGACTGATGGGATTCAAACCCAGGATGTTTGGAACCACAAAATGAAGGCTTTACCACTATGCTATACACATATTCTGATATTCAGATCAATAAACTAAAACTTAAATATTTCATACAAGTGTTATATGCCAGGGCGGTCTCTGCCCCTGGTGAGTACGATCCAGTTCTGAAACTGATGCTTTAACCAAAATAAAGGAAAAATAAGCTAGTTCTATTG